AATTTGATTTTTTTTAAAAGAATTTGATTTTTTTTAAAGAAGATTTCGAATTTAAATTTTGTGAATAAAGAAACAGGTACTAAGAGAGTTTTCCTTATAATAGAATTCAACACGACTCGATTCTAAATTAATTGATATCCAATGTGACTACCAAATACCAAAAAATTAATAAATAAAAAATTAAACCTGCTCTTGGTTAATGAAAAACGTGTATTATTGAAGTTTAAATAGTAATTTCAAAGAGAGAAGAGGTTGTCCTTAATTGATGAAAATGAAATATTTTTTAAAAATAATTATTATTTTAATATAAAACTAGACTTTAATCCGCACGTTGCGTGCTTCGTTTGCATTGTTTTTAGATTTTTATTAAATTATAATAAATTATCTGATATTATTCATTTTCTCTATTATCTCCTCGTTAATTACCTCTATCCCTATCTATCCACATTTCTCTCCATGTCTTTCAATGAATAACCTTTAATTCTCTAGTTTTTTTTTTTTTCATCATACATTTATCTTATTGTTGTGTATTTTAATTATGAACTAACTTAGGGTATGTATCTTTCTTCATTTTTCCTTTTTAAATTGATATTTTCTACATTATCTTACACTTTTCTTACTTTTTTGCATCCATTTCACCTTAACTCTTTCATATCACCTCCATATGTATGTGTATATATATACACATTTTATCATTATATATATTTCGTAAAGTGATTTTATCAATTATCATTTTATTTATCTTTTAGGACTTAATCTCTTAATTTACTACTCACATTTTATCATATTATATAAGTATATATATTAAAAATAATTTTATCATTATATCTCTTTACCTTATTGACTTTCACTTTCTGTTTATATTGATAATTTGTTTCTTGTTACTCTTTGGTCTTCATTTTTTTCCTTTTATATTATTCATCTTTATTCACTTCATACATCTTCATCTATTATTATATATATCTTTTTTATCATAATCTTTTTCTCTTTTCTATTGTCAATATTAGAAATATTTTTTGTTGAAACATGTGGTACAATTTCTTAATAGTATTCTCTAGTTCTTTTTCATTAATCCTTACTTCATTTATCTTATTGTTAATTTTTCTTATAATTCAATTTCTTAGTTTCTCACGCAACATTTTATCTTTTTCTACTACTTTTCATTCTCTCTTTTACTTTTATAGGTTAGTAATTTATTTATTTTTATTATTCTTTCTTCCCTTGTCATCCCCTCTCCTTTCTTTTTCCTCTATATATCTCTTTTTTTACCTTGATTTTTCTCTTTTTTTGGCTTTCTATATTAGAAAATTTTTTAAGTTAAAATGTAAATAGTGTAACTTTTTTGCATTATTCTTTAGTACTTTTTCACTTAGTTTTACTCTATCTCTCTTTAGTTTTTCTTCTAACTCAATCTCTTAACTTTCATATTACAATTTATCATTATATTTATCTTTATACCAAATATTTAATTACAATATCTTTCCTCTCTATATTAATATTTTATTTGTTTTTATTCCTTCTGTAATTATCATTCTATCTCTATTATTTTTTCTTAATAATTTGATGCATCTCAATATATCATTGTATATATATCTCTCTCTTTTTATCTTAATTTTTCCCTCTTCCCTTCTTTATATTAAAAATGTTTTATGTTAAAATGAAAAGGGTGGCTCCTTAACATACAGTATTAAAAATGTTCTAGGTTCTCTTTTTTTTTTTTTCTTTTTTTTTTTTAACTCCATCTCCGCAACGGTTACTCTCCATTTAATTCTATTAAATTTTGATATATTGCAATACAGGTTTATGGAATGCCAACTACTAATATATTTATAGAATGCTAAGTATGTAGCGCATTAACTTTTCCTCTATATGTATTTCCCATATATCAATATAATAGTGCTAATCTTCTATAATTACATTTATTTCCTATTTTTAATACGTAACCCACCAGATGTCGAACCGGTGGGTGTATGAATTATGGTCCTATTAATAAATTTATGTTCCAAATGATTCTAGGTTTATAAATGCCAACTAATATTATATTAGTTTCTAATTAAGCTTGTTGAGAATTTATTTACAGTTTTTTTTAAGTTTATTGAATATTTATTTGAGAATTTTAAGTCCATTGGGTATTTATGTAGGATATTTTTAAAATTCAATAGGTATTT